TAGATTCATAGCTTTTATAAAAGAACGGCAATTTGTTACAAATTCTTCCTCACAAAGAAACACTTTGTGTAACTTAGTTGGTAATATAGTAGAGTGGGGAGAGAACCTGTGTTCGATTCCCATTAAATACATCTTTGGAGACATGCAGTGGGGAGAAAACCTGTGTTCGATTCCCATTAAATACATCTTTGGAGACATGCGAAAAACTTTAACTCAGAATTAGTCCTACAGCCGACTCAAAAAATTAAAGAATACCGCGAACTGTCTCATCTCGAAGTAACTAGAGTTGGTATTAAAAAAAAAAAACTTTTGAGCTAGCAGTAACGCATGCATTAACTGCTTCCTTTTAACCAACCACTTGCTTTTTAAAAAGAAAAAAAAAAGACAGTTGAATGGCATTCAAACAATTTTCGTGTGATGTTTCTATCAGTTCATTTCGTAATAAATGATATTTTCTTTTTTAAGTAATAAATATGTATGCTGCATGCATGGTCTGTCCCAAGCCAGGATAAAGGAGGAGGGTTGACGTCAGGTGTAGCGAACCGACCATAAAAAACAACTATATTTTATGTGAAAAACCCTTATGATTTTTGTTGGGGCGTACCCTTTATAGCGACGCGTTGCATCGGGCCCCGGATGCATAGGCTAGGGCCCTTGCCACAAGGCAAGGCGCTGCATCGGGCCCCGGGTGTAGTGAAAAATATGCTAGGGTCTTTGCCACAAGACAAGGCGTCATGTCTTCACCCAGATTTGGTGAGAAGTATGTCAGGGTCCCAACAAGCAGATGGGCGAGCGTGGCGGGCAAGTACAACCCAGGGGTTAAGATGCAATTGGGAAGCTGGAACATAGGAACCTTAACGAGGAAATTGAGGGAGTCAGCAGATGTTTTTGTTAGAAGGAAAGTGAATATTGTTTGCTTGCAAGAAGCTAAGTGGGCTGGATAAAAGGCCAAGGAAGTGGATGAAACTGGTTTCAAGTTATGGTACACAGGTATAAACAAGAGTCGAAATGGTGTTGGAATTATGATCGATAAAAGTTTCAAAAATAAAGTTGTGGACGTCAAAAGAAAATGCGACAAGATTATTCTGGTTAAGCTTGTAGTGGGTGATTTAATCTTGAATATCCTCAGTATGTATGCACCCCAAGTTGGATTGCAACCAAATGATAAAAGCCAATTTTGGGAAGACTTGGAGGAGGTTTTGAGGGGAATACCACGAGAGGAGAAGATTTTCTTAGGAGGAGATCTAGATGGTCATGTTGGTAAAAGCAATGGAGGTTTTGGCTATGGGACGAGAAACGAGACTGGAGAAGATATCTTGAATATTGAACTAGCCTACGATTTGATGCTAGCGAACACCTTTTTTTGAAAAAGGGAGTCACATCTAATCACATATCATAGTGACCAAAATCGTAGTCAGATTGATTTCTTCATGGCTAGAAGAGAAGATAGAACTTCTTGTGTCGACTGTAAGGTCTACCCTGGAGAGTGTGTCGCCATGCAACATAAGCTGGTAGTCTTGGAGGTTCAGTTCAACAAAGTACTTACAATGAGGAAGAGGGCCCAGAACCCAAGGATAAGATAGTGGAAGCTTAAGGAGGAAAAAGAGAGAGAGTTCAATGAAAGAATATTGCACAAAGGACCTTGGGAGTTTGATGGAGGAGCAAATGCAATATGGAATGAGATGGCTATGTGTATTCAGAATATGGGAAGGAGGGTGTTAGGAGAAAGCAAAGGAAATGGATTTCAAACAAAGGAAACATGGTGGTGGAATGGAGAGGTGCAAGAGGCAATTAAACATAATAAGGAATGCTTTAGATCTTTGCATAAAAGTCCCAGTGAAGAGAACTTGCAAAAGTTTAGATTGGCGAGAAAAAATGCAAAGAAAGCAGTGCGAGAAGCTAGAGGCAAGGTTTTCGTCAATTTGTATAAAAATCTTGGGAGCAAGGATGGTGAAAAAGGTATATACAAACTTGAAAAAATAAGGGATAAGAAAAGTAAAGACCTCACCCAGGTTAGATGCATCAAGGATGAAAATCAAAAACTTTTGGTGAGAGATAAAAATGTAAATGAAAGATGGATGAACTACTTCAACAAGTTGTTTAATGGGGATGGAAATATAAGTGAGGTGGGCTTGGAGGATGCTTATGATGATTTGAATAGAAGATTTGTGCATAGAATTAATACACATGAAGTTAAGGAGGCTTAAAAGAGGATGAAGACTAATAAAGCCTTGGGACCTGATGGTGTCCCTATTAAAGTGTGGAGAGGCCTGAGAGATTTGGCAATAAAATGGTTGACCAATCTTTTCAATAAGATTCTTCAGACAAATAAGATGCTTGATGCATGGAGGGAAAGTATGATTGTGCCTATTTACAAAAACAAGGGAGATATACATAATTGTTCTAACTATAGAGGCATTAAGCTAATGAACCATACTATGAAGTTGTGGAAAACAGTTATTGAACATCGCTTGAGGAGAGATACCAAGGTTTCTGTAAATCAATTTGGATTTATGCTAGGAAGATGTACCATGGAAGCCATTTTCTTGATGTGACAATTAATGGAAAGACATAGAGAAAAGAAGAAGGACTTACATATGGTGTTCATAGATCTTGAGAAAGCATACGATAGGGTTCCAAGGAAAGTTTTATGATGGGTTCTTGAGAAGAAAAAAGTACCATCAAAGTATGTAAAGACAATCAAGGATATGTATGATGGGGCTACTACATGTGTGAAAGCTTGTAACATAACATCAAGTTATTTTCCTATCATGGTAGGTGTACACCAAGGTTCGGCTCTAAGTCCTTATCTCTTTGCCTTAGTTATGGATGAACTAACAAAAGATATTCAAGAGGAAGTGCCATGGTGTATGCGTTTTGCAGATGATATTGTGCTTATTGATGAGAACAAAGACCGTGTTAATAGAAAACTTGAATTGTTGAGAAGCACGTTGGAATCTAAAGGATTCACATTAAGTCGGAGCAAGACTGAGTATTTAAAGTGTGAGTTCTCTCTGGTAAGAGATGTAGACCAAGATCCCGTGCATCTAAGTGGTCAAGAGGTACCCAAGAAAGATGCTTTTAGATACTTGGGATCCATTTTGCAAAAAGGTGGAGAGATTAATGAGGATGTAAATCATAGAATCAGAGCAGGATGAAATGGCGTAGTGCATCTGGGTTTTTATGTGATCGCAAAATCCCCCTTAAGTTAAAAGAAAAATTCTATAGAACAGCAGTAAGACTACAATGCTATATGGAGCTGAATGTTGGCCAGCACATAGGCAACATGAGCATAAAATGGGAGTAGCAGAGATGAGGATGTTAAGGTAGATATGTGGTTATACGAGGATGGATAAGATAAGAAATGAAGATATTCGACAAAAGGTAGGAGTACTACCGGTGGCTGAAAAAATGAGAGAACATAGATTGAGGTGGTTTGGGCACATAATGAGAAGGCTCCTGGATGCTCCCGTAAGAACAAAAGTTTGTTACCAACAGCTCAACACAAAAAAAGGTAGAGGTAGACCGAAACTTACTTGGGGAAAGGTAGTAAAACAAGATTTAATAGAGTGAGATATAGATTGGCGGACGGTATGCCTTAGAACGAAATGGAGAAAAACTATAAGCATGGTGGAGGATTAGACCCATTGTTATCCCTATGTTCCAGATGGTCCCTTTTTAGTCCTTTTCGTATCTTTTATTTGGGCTCATCTACCACTGACCCTAATTAATTTAGGATAAATGTGTTGTTGATGTTGATGTTGAAGTAATAAATATGTATTTTGTTAAAGATGCTGGTTAGCTCAACTAAAATAACAAAATATGTTTTAGTAACCCAAAATATGCAAATTCACTAAAGATTTGAAGCACGAGTCAAAGGAAGTTGAGTTCAAAATCAGATTAGCTAGAGTCACTTGTTTTTTTACTTCAATGTAGTAGAATTAGCATAACCTGAGCTATAATAGCGTAAATCAAGTGATTTTATTAGTGTTATGGACCTGAGTGAGGCCCATATCCATAGAAGGCCCAGGTAATGCAAGCCCAAAGGTAAGCTCTATAAATAGGAGTTAAAGACCACAGGTTTTAACCCTATTTTATGCAATCACAAAGTGCACACACACAACCCCTTCGGCCAAGGCCGTTATATCGTGTGTCGTGATTCGCTACCTCCAAGATACCTAATTCATAAGTATCTAGAGAGAAAGCACCAGATCCTACATCAATCATCTAACCTCCGGTTAGACATCTCTGCTTAAGGCAGAACAATTAGCAATTGAAAGTTAAGAGATAAAGATATTATTACAATCAAATATTTATCATAGGGCTAAAAGTTATAATGGTTAATCAATGAGCAATTTTATTTTTTTTATCCATTTGCCTTATATTTTTTTGGGGTTGGAGGTACATTATGACATATTTTGAATTGGGAAAAAGTATATTCAGTAAATGTACCAACCATGATTGTATCTCCAAATACTGTGTTGAGGCTGAATATTGTGCAAATGTTAGATATTGTTCATATTTTATATTCAAATGACGACTTTTTAAGCATACGAAGTCAACAGAGTCTCACTCCCGGTTGAGTGGGCGGGGTGCGATGAGCCTCAAATTTATTTTATTTTCAATAATTTTAACTTGAGTTCATGAGTAGCTACTCTTACTTTGGATTTCTAAGCATATTTATATTTTCGTCGTAAACAGAGTCCTTTTAAATGAGTACAATGAGGAAAATGTAATTAAACATTGTCGGACATAGCTCACAATGGATGAATCACGGTAACTCTTTGTCTCCATTCTTTCTTCCCTTCTCTCTTTTATGTTTGTAATTTGTATGTGTAATTGTTAGGTGCCAACAACAATATCCTTTGCTTACTCTGAAATTGTATGGCTCCAGAATCTTATAGAAGAGCTTGGCTATTCATATACTCACTCTTACAAATATAATATGAAATATAAATTGATTGAAATATAATATGAAATATAAAATCATTTATTTGCCTTCATCAATGAATTAAACTTTCATGTTGATTTAGTTCTTGACATTGCATCAAAGCAAATATGGCCAAGTGGTACAGTATTTGATCCTTGTCGTCCCCATTCTTCTAGTAATCTCCTAATAAATATTGCCAATCTCTTAGCACAATATTGCCACCTCGTCAACATTGTGGTCAAAATCTCAAACATGATACAGCTTTATAACCTGGTCTAATTTGGCCCGACATACAGGGCAACCCCATCTCTTTGCTTTAACCTCCTTCAAGCAAGACATGCATCCAGCAACATGACCACAAGGTATGCATGCTCCCTCTGCTGGAGCATCCAAACATATCACACAAGAAGAACCACTTCCAACAGAATTTTTTTCTTCTTCTTTGGGTAACTTCTCCACAAATGGAGATGAAATATCAACAGGGCTAAAATCAATGGATGGATAATGAATGGGGCCATCTACTACTGGAATATCATCAGCAAGTGGAGGAGCTGATGGAATGAAATCAAGACCACTACAAGTATGGGCAACAGAGACATTTTCATGCCTTTGAACAAGCTCATGTACAAACTCACTACTACTTGTATTTGGATATGTAACCAGCAAACCAAGCTTGCTTGTTTTCACTCCACCACTTGAAGAGCTTGCTTCAAAGTTTGGATGGGTTTCAAGAAGGGGTGGCCTCTCCTGAATGGCAGAATGAATGGATGCATTGATAGCTATAGCCATCTCTGGATTTTCTGCAGCTGGTGGTGTTGTAGGGGTAACTGTAGCCACGTTATTATGCAAAAATGCTGGATTTTCCTGAAACATCCAAAGATTGAGGTATCATGACATGCAATGAGCAAAGGAAGCATGAAACAAAAGATTTATTATCTGCTAACCACAGTAGAGATTTATAGGCAGCAAATGAAGTAAAGTGAAATAATAGAAAAATATCAGAACTTAATGTTTTATATCACTCTGAAAAGTAACAATTAGAAGTTGGATACAATTAATACATACTTAAAAAAGAAGAAGAAAAAGGATTGAGAAATATTCCATAAATAATTAAATTAAACTACTCTGATTTGGTAGATGTCATAGAGAAAATCAACTTGGGATTTTCTATGGGAAAAGAAACAAAAAAGATCCCTCATTTTGAGTATAACATTTGCGGAGCACCAAATGCTGTGCAAAACTACAAACATAATTCATTTTTAATTTTGGCATTCGATTATTTTCTCTTGAAAAGAAAGAAAAAGATAAATAAACCCAACTTCAAAATAATAGTTTAAATATTTATTAACTACGAAAAGAAAGAAAACTATTAGGTAAGGGAAGGCATGCCTAAATTATTGATGCACTGCAATCTCCAACCATGAGACTGAAGAAGTAATGACCCTTAAATCATTAGGCTTTATTTACTAGCATTGACAATAGTAAATGAGAATATCCATCTTGGATCATAATAAGTGATTTCTGAAATGCTTTATAATGCAGACAGACTGAACACTAGATATTTTAAGAGAGTATGCAAATTACCCTCTTTGACATCATATACGCATCGATAATTAGGCCAATTTGCTAATTTACAAATTGTATTTAAACCTTTAGGTTTCAGCAGCATATCATTGACAACTTTGTTTCATTACAAATTTAAACTTCTCTAAATTATTAAGTCAATTATCCGAGCACAGATACGTATAAAAGACCCCAACCTCAGTTTGAAATGGTGTGAAACATCGATACTCCTACTTGTGGATTAGCATTTGAATAACAGATGGAAAATTATTCAGCACAAAATTTCCAGACAGATATCCTTAAACAAGAAAAAGAATAGTGCTTCTACAGTTTCACTTTATGCAAAACAAAAGTTCTTGTTTTACACTTGCTTTTAAAACACAGAGAATAACATAAGCGCGCATAGCATGTGACATACCCGTGGAATTCCTTTGCAAGCATCAGAAAACCACTTAAGTTGTTGCATGTTGTTCTCACTTGCAGGTCCAAGTTTAATGCGTGTTTCTGGGAAGAGGCGAAAAAAAGTTCAATATAGTAAAGGAACAATAATATTCTCTTATGGGTCTAAGCCTGTCAATATGGAAAGATATTTTCCCCGTATGAAAAAAGGCTGACGAGTGGTGTGTGTGGAATGTTATACCATATTACATTATGAAAGACCCTTATTTTATATTTCTGGTTCATCCAAAGAAACTTTTGCGGGAAAAATTTGGACAAATATATAATTATTCGGAAATTTTGCACGTAGATTCTATACCTACATCTTACCTCTTACAAGGAAAACAAATCATCTCTGCCACCTACCTATTGTGACGGAGAAAAGTGAGGTAGGTTTCAATTTTCACTTAATGTCCAGAAGTTTAAAAAATATCACAATGAAATTCATATATTTGGTAAACAAACAAATGAAAATTATAAGATTATGACACAAATTAACATCAACATCACTTTTATCCCAAACTAGATGGGGTTGGAAGATTATGACACAAATAAACAAAATAAAAAAAAAATTGAGGATTCTGAATTCCTACATGGTCACACCTCAATCTTTTCTCTGCACTTCCCTTATTTTTCTCCACTATTTCTTTCCTCTTAAATTCGGGCATCTACGTCAGTGACATTTTTTAGCGATATTCAAAATAAATGTATCAATCCTTTTGTACTTTTCATTTGGGTTCCTCTACCCAACTAGTTTGGGATAAATGTATTGTTGATGTTGATGATGTTGATGTTGATTCAAAAGAAATGTAAAATACCAAAAAGTAATTGCGAAAGGGGATGGTGACAAATCAGGAAAATTAAGACAGAAAAATAGAGTACTTAGTATAAGAGATTACCAGTAGTGTTATCAACAACAAACACTGAAGGAGGAGACAAATGTAGCTTTGGTTCTTCTAAATTGGCCTCCCACAGAGAAATAATTTTTTGTGGTTGAGCATCCTGCCAATTTAATAATATGCTTTAAAACATCAAGTAAATTCCGGATGACAATAAGGGAAGAATATGCTAAAGAAAGCAATGTAATTGCATCTCAATGTACGTATAATAGTTCTATTGTATATATATAGTAGAAGCAGTATAGACTTAGTCCCACATCATGTATTTCAGGTTGTATATATTGAGTAGTTGTATATATATAATATAGCCTCCGCTGTGCTGTTATGACACACGAATTTATTCCAATGTTACTTTACATGGTATCTAGAGCCTAACGAGAGAAACCATAATCCGCTTATTTTCTCTAGTGAACCCACTGTTCATCTCCTTTTCAAATTTTTTTCCAGATACTGCCTCTTTGTCAGACGTCTCTTTTGTTCTTGGGACGTCTCTGCGTTGTTGCCGGCCCTTTCTCCATGCAAACCGTCGTCGAAAACCTGTTGACCATCGTTCCTCCGTCATTGACCACCGCCGCCCGGTAGTTTTTCCAGCGAACCACTTATCGTTGTGATCGTCTCGGCAGTGCGGTTCTCTCTGTCCAGCTCGCGTCCCCATTCAATCAGCTATGCACCCTCACGTTCTCGCGGAAGTTACGCCCCTCCCTTCGGTTGGCCGATGCGCGGAGGCCCTTTTCCGGCAGCAACTGGTTGGGTTTTTCTTCCCCTCTCCGAGATGGTTCTGGATCTCGTCTTGTTTTGGTGTTTTGACATCGTTATTGGTGACGCGCAGATCTCATTCCTTCCGGTTAGTTTTGTGATCTTTCGTTTTTGATATTTTGGTGATTATGGATTCTACTCCTACCTCTTTTGTTTCGGAGTCTCCGACTGGTCGTGGACGTATACCCTCTAAGGGTCGGTTACTATGTACTCATTGTCATCAAACCACTCATACTGTTGACCGCTATTGAAAGATCCATGGAAAGCCACCTCAGCCTCCTCGAACTGCTCATGTTGCTCAGGCTCTTTCTATTGCTCCTGATCCAGGGTTGCCTTTTGCAGCACAACCTTCTGCATATCTTCTTAATGAATTTGTTACTTGGTGGTCTGAGATGCAAGCATCTGGTTCTACTGCCTTCATTGCTCCATATGGTAATTCTTTTGCTGAGATCTCTCAATTACAATCTCTAGGCCCTTAAACTCTTGATTCTAGGGCTTCTGATCACATTTATGGTAATAAGTCTTTATTCTCCTCTCTTTGTATTACTGGTCATTTCCTATTATTACTATGGCCATTGGGTCTTTGGTCCAATCTTGTGAGATCGACACGGTTCTTCTCATCCCTACTTTATCTCTGGATCATGTTCTCTGTGTTCCTGATTCCCCTTTTAACTTACTTTCCTTTACCTGTTTGACCAAATCCCTTGATTGTGTGGTTTCCTTTATAAAAGCTTCTGTCATTTTGCAAGATTGGAGTTCGGGAAGGTGATTACCAGAGGATGTGAGTCTCGCGGTCTCTATCAAATTTTCCTTTCTACCTCAGCTTGCTCTACTATGGACTTTCCCCTCACTATCCATGCTCGTTTGGGTCATCCAAGTCTTGTCAAGCTTTAGAAGATGGTACTTTATTTATAGTCTCTTTCTAGTTTACATTGTGAGTCTTGTCAGTTTGGGAAACATATTCGTAGTATATTCCCAAGTCGTCTTAGTCGTCGAGCTTTGTCTCCTTTTTCTTTGGTCCATTCTGATATTTGAGGGCCAAGTCGTCATCCTTCTTCTTTGGGGTTTAAGTATTTTGTTACATTTATTGGTGATTATTCTAGACGTACTTGGTTATTTTTAATGAAAAAATCGTTTTGAGTTATTCTATATTTTTCAGTTATTCTATAATGAAATCACAACTCTGTTTGGTATTCCTATTTGTATTTTTCGTAGTGATAATGCCTGTGAGTATTTATCTCATCAATTTCAACAATTCTTTTCTTCTCATGGCATTCTTCATCAAACATCTTGTCCTCTTACACCTCAAAAAAATGGTGTAGCTGAGCACAAAAACCGTCACCTTGTTGAGAATACTCGCGCATTGTTAATTGATGGAAATGTTCCCTACAAGTTTTAGGGTGATGTTGTTCTCACCGCATGCTATCTCATTAATCGCAAGCCCTCTTCTGTTCTTCATCACCAGGTACCTCGCTCTGTTTTGTTCCTTCATCAACCTTTATATCCTTTGATCCCACATGTCTTTGGTTCTACGTGTTTTGTTCATAATCTTGATCCCGACTTGGATAAACTAGCTCCCAAGTCTTATAAATGCGTTTTTCTGGGTTATCCTTGATCTGAAAAAGGTTACCATTGCTACTCTACGTCAATACTTTATCTCAGCAAATGTTTCCTTCTTTGAATCAGTCCCTTTTTTGACTTCACTACTGCTCCTGTGGACTCTAGTTCTGTTCAGTCATCTCTACCTCCCATCTCCTTTGAATACCTTCCGCTTTTCCTGGTCTCTGTGTTTGATTCTCCTTCGGTCACCTCTTCTCCTGATGAGTTGCAACCTGTTTTCCCACTTTCGGTTTCTCCAGATGTTTCTGTTGGCTCACATCCAACTACATCTCCTCCTTCGGCTTCGGTCCCACCTTCGGCCTAAAGGTACCTGTGATACCTACCATCCAGCCAGGTATTCAGTTAATATTTGTTAACATTGTCTTTCTCTGTCATATTTTGCATGTCTTGCTTTTTCAATTTATAATCTTTAACACCAGCTTTGAACCCAACACTTGCTTTAGTCTCTGTTTGTGGTGACATAAATCCCTCCCTACAACTCAAGAATTAAGAATTATCGCAACAGCAAGGTCTACTCGACATGACTTAGGAATTAATGAAAGGTCCCACCTTCGGCCTAAAGGTACCAGTGATACCCACCCTCCGGCCAGGTATTCAGTTAATATTTGTTAACATTGTCTTTCTCCGTCATATTTTGCATGTCTTGCTTTTTTGTCTTCTGTGTCTATTCCTAAGACTACAGGTGAAACACTTTCACATTCTGGATGGAGACAAGCTATGATTGATGAAATAAGTTTTCTTCAGCACAATGGCAGATGAGATCTGGCCCCTCTTCCGTCTGGGAAATCTGTTGTTGGCTGCTGCTGGATTTATACTATTAAGGTTGGTCCTGATTGTAAAGTGGATCGTCTTAAAGTCCGCTTGGTGGCGAAGGGTTTCACTCAGATGTTTGGACTGGAATATGGTGACACTTTTTTTCATGTGGCGAAGATGTCTTTTGTTCGCCTCTTTATTGCCATGGCTGCTATCTGCAACTGGCCTCTATATTAACTTGATATTAAGAATACTTTTCTTCATGGTGATCTTGCAGAGAAAGTTTATATGGAGCTACCTCTTAGATTTGTTTCTCAGGGGGAGTCGGGTCTTGTTTGTCGTCTCCGCAAGTCTCTATATGGTCTCAAGTAATCTCCACGATATTGGTTTGGCAGATTTAGCAATATTGTTCAACAATTTGGTATGACTCAGAGTGAGGCTGATCATTCTCTCTTTTATCGTCATTCCGCTCTTGGGTCTATCTATTTGTTGGTGTATATTGATGATATTGTCATCACAGGTAGTGAAAATCATGGAATTACTCAACTGAAGCAACATTTATGTCATCATTTTCAGACCAAGGATCTTGGGAAACTTCGATATTTCTTGGGAATCGAGGTGGCCCAATCTAAAGATGGAATTGTGATATCTCAAAGGAAATATGCTCTGGATATTCTTGAGGAGACTGCTATGTTAAATTCTAAATCTATTGATACCCCTATGGATCCAAATGTCAAGCTTCTACCGAATCAAGGGGAGCCCTTTTCAAATCCTGAAAGGTATATAAGATTAGTTGGAAAAATGAACTATCTCACAGTCACTCGGTCTGACATTTCATTTGCAGTTAGTGTGGTAAGTCAGTTTCTTAATTCTCCATGTCAAGAACACTGGAATGTCGCCATTCGTATTCTTAAGTATAACAAGGCATCTCTAGGAAAAGGCCTTGAATATAAAGATAAAGCTAATGTTAAAGTTGTCAAATAATTTGATGCCGATTGGGCCGGTTGTTCTACTGATAGAAGATCTATTACTGGATATTGTGTCTTCGCTAGAGGCAACTTGGTTTCCTGGAAAAGTAAGAAGCAGAATGCAGTTTCCAGATCAAGTATTGAAGCAGAGTATCGCTCCATGGAATGCAGTTGCCAGATCAAGTATTGAAGCAGAGTATCGCTCCATGGCTACCTATGTAGCACCGATACTGACACGGGACACGTGACACGATACGACACGACGACACGTTAATTCTAAAAAATGTTAGATTTCGACACGCTAGGACACGTTTTGATATTAAATAATATTTTTAATTTATGTAGTGTATATTATATTTAATATTCATAAATTTAGCAAAAAAATAAAATTAAACTTATATTATTCATCAATTTTGCAAAGAAACATAAGATATCCAAAATATTTATATTAAACTCAATAAAATGGTAATTGTAATCCAACGAATCTAATAGTTAGAACTAAAAACTCAACGCAACGCAACCTTTGAACCTTTTTTTGAATTTCTATAATGCGTGTTAGAGTGTCGAAGAGTGTCGGAGAGTGTCGAGAAGTGTCGGACACGACATGTCAAGGTTTTTGAAGTGTCGGTGTTTCATAGATGACTACTACTACTTGCGAGCTCATTTGGCTTATGCAACTTTTTAGAGAGTTCAAGTTTGAAGACACTGGACCAGCAACTCTCATTTGTGATAACTAAGCAGCACTACATATTTTGTCCAATACAGTGTTTCATGAAAAAACCAAGCATATTGAGATAGATTGTCACTTTTGTTCGGGAGAAAGTCCTTGCTGGTGAAATTATGACCAATTTTGTACCCTCTAATAATCAATTAGCAGATGTATTTACTAAGTCTTTGAGGGGTCCTCGAATAGAGTATATGTGTAACAAACTTGGTGCTTATGATTTATATGCTCCAGCTTGAGGGGGAGTGTTGTATATATATAGTAGAAGTAGTATAGACTGAGTCCCACATCATGTATTTCAGGTTGTATATACTCAGTAGTTCTATATATAATATAGCCTCTGTTGTATTGTTATGACACACGGATTTATTCGAATGTTCCTTTCATCTCTTGTTACTTTACATGTAAACCCAAAAGCTTAAGCTGTTCGGTGAGGTTATATTTAATAGTTTTATATTTCTGAAATACACCCCCTCACACGAGAGTCCATTGGGCTTGACAGGTGGATAATGCATCAAGCTCAGTCTACCTGTACTAAGAAACTCCACAATATTTAATTATTAAAATGAGGGCGGTGAGGATTGAACCAGTGACATCGAGGCTCTGATACCACCATGTAAAGAACCAATTCAACCCAAAAATTTAAGCTGTTGGGTGAGGTTACATTTAATGGTTTTATATTTCTCAAACATTGTTACTTTACAAGTTCGATGTGTAGTGAATGATGCATTGAAATAGATTACCTGCAAACTAGAATAGATGGCAAGCTCCAGCTTGTAAGGTCTCGCAAGATTACGGGAGCCAACCGGTAAAACAACCACCCAACTGCAAGAAATTAATCAATAACAGGCATAAGCATAATCACAAAGATTTTGCACTAAATGTTTCTCCCTAGGAGAAAAAGTTTCATTTTCCAATCGTGTGAATACAAGCCCCACACGTCCATCAATATAGCTAGAACAACCAACAATAAAATAGCAAAGCAGAAGTTAATGGGATGCTCGAAATAATATTTCTCATGATACCCACACTTTTCTGGAAACCAACTGAGGAGCTATTACTTCTAGGAATCCAGGTCCATGAAATTCCCATAGCCAACCCGAGAACAAACATAGATGACTCTGCAAAACCATAATCATTTGAAGAACTTTTATGCTTCCTTCAGGTATATGATCAAGAGCAATCAACTTCAGGTAGCATGTACACAATGGTACTACATTACTAAGTTGGAACAAACCTCAATTGTACGAACAACTTTGCTGTGCCCTTTGGCCCTAGCAATGTCTAGAGCAGTTTGGCAATCATCATTCATGACCAAAGGATTGGCTGGAAAGTTTAACAGTAAACCTCATATAAATGTACTGACAATTAAGTATTTTAAACAATATTTGTTGAAATTATTAAAATCCAAATCAACCGTGACAGTAAAATATTTGATAATATGTTGACAATTGACCATACCTCCATGCGAAAGAAGTAACTTAACAATACTTTCAAGGCCCCTTTTAGCTGCATGATGCAAAGGAGTCCCACCATGACAACCTAAATAATAGTTGATACAAACGAATGAAGCAAGAGCAAAGCATAAATCGAGTTCATTTATAACTATAATACTTGTTATAAAAATTAAGGATGGCTACTTAAAATTAAACAACAACTTCAAATGAATTAAGTGCAGAGAGAAAACACCATCTAAACTAAGGAATCAACATGCTATGCAAAGATCTAAACTAGGCAACTTTCAGATAGTAGGTAATTTTGATGTAACCACCAGTTTTTATCCAAAGGTTACCATAACATCCCTTTTCCTTAGTGTTATAATCATTGATACCAATCAATATAGTTTCCAATAAGCTAATCAATGAAATTAATAAACCATAAAGAGATCAATACCCGGACGATATGCATTGATATTGGCTCCAAGTTCAATCAAAGTTCTAGCAACATCATAATGCTCAGGATCCATACAAGCAACAATCAAGGGTGTCTTTCCTTCTCTGTCCATCCACTGCATCAAAATCAACAAAAATCATCACTATCAGCTACAAAATCTCGTCGATCCAAAGCCATTAGCAGCCCAATTAACCACTACCCATGATTAAAAATCACATTTTTCTTGAAGTGTTAACACTGTTTCTTTACCTCCAGCCCTGCACCTTCTCTTAGAAGGGCTTTGATTCCTTCCGTGTTGCCATAGCTGACTTGCTGGTAGAGAAGCTCGCTTTTGGATTGCCCTTGCCCCATCAAAGTTTACTGTTGTATGTATTTTGCGAGAATTCTGAAGTGGGTTTCTTGTTTCAGGACAAGGGAAACAGGATTTCAGTTCAATCAGGGAGTTTTCCGGGAAAATTTGAAACTTTCCGGGAAAATGTAGAGTAGAAGGAAAGCCAGTGAAAAGAGGATGATGGGGGCGATAAGTGTAAAATGGAACGAAATCATATTAAATTATTCACAACGATAATAATATTGTTATGCACAAGGAACTGCGATTAAGCGATTAATGATGGATTTCTTGAGAACTAAAAAAAATGGGTGTGCCCTCAACTCTCCACTCCACCGAAAGTTAGTTCCGCTCAAGCCTAATTCGTTATTACTTGAAGGAGTTAAGTTAGTTTGGTTAAAGAAGTTTTTAATTAGAAGTTTGTTAAGAGATTTTATTTTTATTTTTTTGATAGAAAATAGTTATTGTGATTTATTTTAATCAAACATGTATTTATAAGATTTTTCGCTTATTTATTAAATGATACAATTGTAACTCTCATTGATTCTAATTTATTAATCAGTCGTTAGATGAAAAAACAAAATTAATGGCTAATAATGAGTCGAAGGCTTATTAAATTTAGTCTAAGTTGATCCTCTTCATCCAAATCAAGAAAAACACTTCTCCTGATTTGATATAAGACCATGCAAAAGAAATTAACTGTTGGGAATTGAAAGCATATACGCACTTTATTGATGGAAATTGTTTTACAAATTCCAGGGTGAAAGTCATCACCCTATAATAACCCTGGATACATCAACTTAGATAATCAAGGAGGATAAATAAAGAAAGCATATTATTTTCATGAAAATTGATTTGTGTTCCTTGTGCTACTTTGGAATTGAGATTCTTCATCTTACTTAGCTAAATCACATATTCTTAATTAAGATTCTAACAAGGTTTCTTTATTATTGAACCTATTAGGCCTTCGTTATTGCTAGTTGGATCAATATGAGTATCCCTCATTTAATTATACCGATCAAGAATCTATTTAGGCTCTTCCATTGAAATAGCACCATAGAATTGAAAATAAAATATCAAGCGCACAATAACATTAGGAAATAAAAATTTCCTAACACAAATGTGTCTAATGGCTCGTTTAGTGTATAGGATAAAGACGGATATGATAAGTGAGTTGGATAATAATAAGATATGATACGAGTTTGATAAGAGCATATATTATTATGTGTTTGATGTGCATTAGATAAGCAAAGCGATAGGATAATAGTATTCATCTTGTGTAGAGGTGATAGTAGACTGAGCTGGGTCAAGCTTTGCCCCGAAAAGCACAAGTGTATGTAAAAAAAAAATTATTTGGTCTGGCTAGTACGAGTCTAACTGTTAGCCTGACTTGGCCCGTTTATAAAAAAACAAATGGACTGGCCTAACCCGTTAGCCTGTTAATTTTTAAATTTCAAGCAGAACCATGAATCAACTTTACAAAATACTCAAGTTCTGTTGCTAAACCAAAAATCATAATTTCAACGTCCAAACAGAATCATGAATCACAACAAAACTCATACAATAAGTCAATTTCAAAAGCAAAATGCTCAAACTAAATAACATATATTTCATCATATCCAACAAATAAATCCATACTATGTAAATTAAAATAACTACATGAATCCAACAAATACATAATGATGCTTGTAGTAAATATAACATCTCCCAAAAATCTTTTAATATATTCATATACAAAATCTAACATGCTGAGATGTTGGTTCCTCCTACATAAGAAATAAAGTCAGATTTTTATTAAAATATAATCGAATACAATTAAGTTATAAATAATTGCAATTGATTAAATTTATATCTTTTCTTTTTTCTTCAAGTCATACTTATTCTATTTTATTTTATTTAAAATAAATAGTACAATATAGGTCGGCCTGTAGGCTTATAGGCCAGTCCTTGTGAAAGTGAGTCTACGTCCTTTCTATTAAACAAGCTTTTTCAAGGCCCAAGACTGACCTATTTTACGAAATATACTAGGTCAAGTCTGGCCTGACGTAGGCCGAGCCGAAGGCCCTTGTAGGTCGGGCCGGCCCTGTAACACCTCGTGTATACCCGGTTTGTTATCATGTCGTCGTATTAAGCCACGCTTAATTAAAATGCGGAATAACTTTTTCTTTTCAATTATGATGTCATTATCAATTACCAATTTGATTACTTAATCCTTTTAAAACATTGTCTGTATGTAATTGCAAATAAGCAGCTGTCTACACTGAATAACCTCGTAGAATAAATATGTGAGTATCTAAGTCACGAATCTACAACACGTAGTCCGGACATAATCCAGATACAATTATACAACTCAGATAAACTCAAACATAACAGAAATCAATGTGGCATGGACAACCCACATGCTCACCAAATAAGGAAACAAAGCCTAACAAAGTCTCAACAACAACAACATTGACAACAACATGATAATGAATATAAAGCAGGTAGGCATCTAAGAATAACAAGATAAATAGCAAGCATATCACATCAGCTCTGGCCTCCTGCCGCCCGAGGTCTCAACCCCCGAGTTACCTGAACTTGAAATATGTGCCCCAAACGTGGGGTGAGATCTCTAAACAGAAATCTCAGTAAGACAAGGGGTCCTCAAGGATTTCTCCACCCCAAGCTCACTTACATGTGCAATATAAGTTCAAAAGCAGTAATATAATATAAGTTTCAAAATCAGTACAATACAGCAGAATAATCATGTCATGTGTGTCATCAATTCTACTGGCCAGAGAAATGCAGGATTTACATACGTCTATTGCCTACATTCAGTGCAAGTACTACTTACACCCACCCACAGAATCACCCTATGGCATATCTCATACATACACAGGCTTATCGTCTAGGTGGAAAAACACATGCATATTATAAGCACTTACACATAATAGCTCAACAGTATTTCAAAATCAATACATGAAAACACATCATGCATATAAATCATCCTCCCATGGGGTATGGTGGAACCAACAATGACTAAACCGAGGAGACGAAAGCTTACCTCGCAAGCTAACTATCCAAGCCAAGCTCACACTAGCTCAATGCTCACAAACAGCACAATCACAATCTGTTTATACAATAAATAATCATTAATATTCATTGCCCAAGGTTCCATTAAGTGATAGGGCTTTCCAACTCATTTTAAGTGATTTCATGCAAAATCTGCAGGAGGTATTCGAGTACTCCTCGATGAGTATTCGAATACTCTAAGTCTCCAGAAAGTATCTGAATACTTTCACTTAAGTATTCGAATTCCACTAGGTATCCGAATACTTTTACCACAGTATTCAAATACTACCCAGTATTCGAATACTTACTCAACGGTATCCGAATACTTTTCTTCCCAGAAAAGTATTCTCATACTCCTCCAAGGAGTATTCGACTACTGAAGGATAAGTATTCGAATACTACAGGAAAAGTATTCGAATACTTATCAGACAGAATGCAGGAATTCATGCATTCTCTGCATAAGTCCATATTTAAGGGTCCAAACATGATCTGGAGTCCAATAACTCCATCAACAGATGTTCATTAACATGTTTTAGACTTAGATTACCAGCCTTTAGCTCGAATGGTTCAAGTTTCACTTTTTAATGTATTAAACAAGCTAAAATCATGAAAATACCAAAGAGGTGATCATGGTATACCTCAAGTGACTCTAACTCAGAAAAAGACTCCTCCTTGGAGCTTCCAACAAGGCTCAAAGGTGCTGACCTTGCAAGGACACGAAAATGCACTACAAGATGGGTCATTTACACCAAAAGGTGGCTCCTTGAAGCCTCCAATGACAAGAGAATGACTCTCTCCAATGAGAACCACCAACTCAGCCCACAAAACCACCACTCACAGCCACTACACTCAGCACACAGCAGCCTCTCACCCACACAAGCATAGCTCACACTTAGTGATAGTGTTTAGGTGAAGAAACAAGGTAGCAAGATGGTTTCTTGGTTGGATTTGGTGCAAGATCCAAGCTTCTATGAAGAGAGGAAATGGCTGAAGCAACTCAGCAAAAGGGGAGGCACGTATGATGAAAATATGGCCTAGGGTTTTGGGCCCAAAGGCTATTTATAGGTCCATTAAACTAATCACAATGTATTAGTGCTAATAGTTACGCTTATCATTTTAACCTCAAACTTGAGATTCTGAACCTAGCCATTTTTCTAGGATTTGTCCTATTTTTATTTTATTTTTCGCAGTACATTTTCGGTACGCGCTTTTACATATCCAGTATCAGTTCTGGCACCAGTTCTTATTATTTTGACCTGAAACTTGTTATGCTATTCCTATATATTATTCTAGCAACATATACATACTTTTCATAATTTTCTGGGATACTTCATTGGTGCGCATTTATACCGTGAGGCAAAATCGTTATCTGCACTTTTCGTCAGAAAAACGACTTTCAACATTATTAATCACTTACCATAATTATTTAAGTCTTCTCGTAATTATTAGGGTCAATTATGGGATTATCTCATATTAAATAATTAAATTCCTAAATTAACGGTGCGGGTTCTTACAGGCCCAGTTTCACCCCTAATCTTGTGTTTGGTGTGAATCAGATTACATTAGGATATGCTTTAAATAGACAAAAATATCCTCAATAATAAATTTTTATATAATTACTTTTTATTTGATTTTTAAACTTATTTTTTAATTTATTTATACGTTAATTCCTATTTTAAGATTGATTCATGTAAATTATTTGTTATCAATAGCTCTTGCTTAATAATTTATAAATTTTCATAATTTGTAACTCAATAATATAATAAACTTAAAATCATACACAACAGTTAATAAAATCACAAATTTGATTCTTCACTTTCTTTTATCACATTTTGACAGATAAATTTCTACTTTGAGTAAAAAGAAAAAGGAGAAAAAAATGAACAAAGAAAACTACTTTTTTTTAAAAGAAAAGAAAAGAAAAACGATGGCAGAAGTTGTCCATCTTCCTTCTCAGTGATGAAGTAGCAGAAACAGAGAACAAAGAAAAAAAGGGTTATGCTTCTTCAGATATTTTCCAGCACCAGTTACTGTACCTCCAAGTCCCTATCCCAGAAACAAGGGCATCAACTTTCCCACCAATGCCTTTCCAAATCTCTGGTCTGGTGGTTTCATAGTGAATCTAAGAAGAAATTGAAGGTGCTATTAGCTTCCTTCCTCATCTAAGACTACCCATCTCCTTCCACAAATTTTCCAATAAATCATCTTTCTCTGACAATTGGAATTTTGATCCGTTTTTTCTTTCATATTTTAATGGTTCAGAGCTGTTAGCTTTTATAC